TATTTTTTTTATTCCTGTGGTAAACTTGTTTTTCGGGATCGTAAAATATTGGTACATGCATCCTTATATCAGTAGTGTTTTCTTTTCTGGAGATTGTCTCCACCATTCTCCTGACAACTGTCTCTTGTTAGAATTTTCTACAAAGTGAACAAGTGAAAACAAAATAAAGAATATCTCATAATTGACTGCCGTCATGAGAAAAGGGCCCTTATCTTTTGACGTCACAATGCTCAGAAAACGACGTCAAAGTTGCGGTATTGTAAACACGCAAGCAAAAAAAATTGTCAAATGCGTTTCGTGATCCAGACATAAAATTAGATTTCAAAGTGTAACAAAAAATTGAAATTTGATGCGGACATTTTTAATAGGTATATAGTATGATATTTGTACTATTTAATACGTGAATTTTTTCATAATTTTGTTGAAGTACATGTATATACATGTAACTTGATGTTGATTGATATGCGACATTTGGACACGCACCTTACTAGGAACAGCGATTAAAACTATGTATATTCATGACGAAATTAAAAATGCTGCATATTATTTGTTTTTGAGAAATTTCCAAATGCTTGATTTTGAATTCATGTTAAGAAGTCTTAATATTAAAAGGTATATTCCATATACATGTATATGTTTCTCAGAGAGAGAGAGAGAAAGAGAGAGAGAGAGAGAGAGAGCGAGAGGTTTATATATATATGCACTTATAGTATTACCATTCTTATAAGCGATACTTTTTTTTCTAAAAAATATATACCATAATTTAGAATGTATTTTAATTTTAATCCATAGTGAATCATACTGATGTACCCCGATAGCCAGCCCACTGTGAACTGTCGATTTTTAAATGTGTGTAAAAAAAGGGGGGTTGGGGAAAAGTAGACAAGCCAACAAAAATCTCCGAATAAAAAGATAACCGGTTAAAGTTCAAGCAGAAAAAACTTAACCCCTGTGTGACTGGATATATATTCTGGTAACCTTCTACATCAACAATGAATAATTCTATACTAAATCAACAGTAAGAAAATACGCTAAGGGAAAAAAGAAAAAAATACGGGGAGGATGGAGATGCCATGAAAATTTTGCTAAAAATAAATTTTGTTTACAAAAAATAATTAAAAATGATGCAAAAAATACATGTTTCAATTTTCTTAAGTTATTCCGATGAAATCCCACTCGAAACTGAATTGCAATATGTATAGGAATTAATTACAGCTATTGTAGACTTTTCCCAAAAACATTATACCAAATTTTGAAGAAATTAACAATTTAACATCAACAGTGATAACATGAATGAAGATATTTATAAACCAGAAAAAAAACCCACTATAGATGAAGCGAAAAGATAGCTGTAGTGTAGCTTTCCGAAAAACCGGCAGACCGGAGAGCTACAGTGCCACCAAGGTTCAAACTGTATATCTATTGGGGAGGTCAACATTACCGCTACATTGCCAAAAATTTCAACTCATTACCGCTACATTTTGTCAGATTTTCGACCGATCATTACCGCTACATTTTTCCAGCAAAAAACAACTCATTACCGCTACATACTGAATCAGCCAAAAACAACTCATTACCCTACATATCGATTTAGCCAGGTAGTTCGGTTTACATGAGTTCTAATCAACAGAATTCACTCACTATCTAATCAGAATGAGTACATATATAAAAAAAAATCTGCAGTGGGAATCTAATCATTTAGTGTCATCTGAACATTATGACCACCATTGAGAAGTTTGTTACAAATCGAGGGAATACCGGCTTACTTAGTGATTTTTTTTTTATATATTTTGAAAAAAATAAGACTTTAAAAAACTCAAAATTGTGGAAATGCGTTGAAAAGAGTTGCAAAAGCAGCTGCAAAACAGACCTCGACGAATTATAGTAAACCTATCCTGTTCAAAGTCCTACTTTCACCTCCCCGTGGTGAGCAGGAGGAACGGGTCTTATGCATGTACATTTATAGGTTGTACTGTACACGCATAAGTGGCCTCCTTACGAAAGAAGCAATGTAGCGGTAATGTATACTTTTTTATGTAGCGGTAACGTAAGGTTTTTTGTAGCGGTAATGACAATGTAGCGGTAATGAAAATTTTGAAAATGTAGCGGTAATGATACGCACCCATCTATTGCGCACAAAAAGTTGCGCTTAGTTCTGGATTAATTCTTCCAAATTCTTACCTCAATCGCAAAAAAGATAGATTTAAAAGGAAATATCTTACTCCTCTATAAATTACTCTCGTAGTTGACATCTGCACAGCTACAGTTCTGCAGCTAGCGAAAAGACGTACAAATTTCTGGCTTATGTCAGATATAGCTACATTTTTTGAGAATCCCTGATAGAGCTTAAAGTATAAGTGACAAGTGGTTATGGTGTAATTTCCAAAAGTTATGAAAATGTTTAAAATCATAAACCACTTCAAACCTTAGACAACAAAGAAGTCTAATTTTTAGAATGATGAAAAAGTAAATTTTTAGCACTGGTGATGTCCAATGGGAAAAAAAGTACTTTCGTTCAAAACTTAATGAGTGTGAAACATATTTCATTGACTACTCAATTCATGATATGAAGTAAATTAAATGAAACTCTTTTTACGTTGAAATCTTCAACTCTGATACATGTACATGAATCTAAATATCCCGTATATCACGACATTTATTGGATCTCCGTTGAAATCGAAATACTGAAGTTTATATCATGATCCTGAAATGACTCTAAGGAAAGGAATTGATAAATAAACTCAAATATTTCTGCATTGAAAGAAAAATACTGTCAATATTACAGTCGCACGCAAGTAGTATCGGGGAGGGGGGTACATCGAAAGTCCGTTTGCCCCCCCCCCACCCACCTTTTCTTGCAGCATAGTCAAATTAGTGCACAATAGAACAAACGCAAAGTATTATGTTTAATTGAGAAAAATTGAAACTGCAAAAAGTCTGATCCATCCCTAACGGCGAAATTGGATTCGAGTTTGGACAATCCCCACTCTTTGGTTTTTTTGTTTTTTGTTGGTTTTTTTTTTTTTTGTGGTTTATCAAATTTTTATTCTACATGTCCCCCATCCTCTCTTCAAGATTCTACGTCATTGAGTTGTAGGGAACAGGCGAAATCGTACTAGTCATATATATTTTTTTTTATTTCGATATATCGAAAAAGTGGTACATTGTACATGTATGTTTTGAACTAATAACTAAGAAAAAATGGATAAGAGCGTTAGATTATAACCTCATATAAAATACATAAACGTGTGTTGGACGAAATATTTCATTATTGGTTAAGACAGTCGCATCGAAATGTGAAAATTTTTATTAGGTGTCAGATTAGTCAATGTCACGGAGGGAGATGAATAGATGACCTTTCCTGGCCGTATAAAAATAATACAAATGTTATGTTCAAGTGAAACAGGGTAAAGGTGCCTCAAATTAAAAAAAAAGTGAATGTGCAGAAATATGTGTGACCGATTTAAATCGTGATTTACTTTAAAAAATAAGTATTTTCAATTTTAGGTATAAGTTCAATTAAAGGTACAGTATATAAACCATTCATAAGAAAATCCTTTGACATCATTTGCCTCTTTATTATATTTTTACGCCATAACTTAGACAGGCGAAGAAAATGATTTGTATGAACAATTGAATTGAAACATTTTTGACAAAATCTTCAAAAAAGTAAACTTAAAAAAAATCCGCTTGCATGAAAGAAGCGAACATGAATTCAATTCATGCATTCAATTTTTTTTTTTAACGGAATAACAAGTTTACATATCTTGGTGTATATGCATTTATTTCTCATTTTTCGGTGATACAGAAATTATATGGTGTTTTGATCCTATCCTAACAGATATAGGGAAAAAAGTTACGTGTGTGTGTGATGGTGAGTGAATTTTAATGACTGATAAGAAATTCATTTTCTTTTTAATATCGGGATGGAAGTGCTTTTCCTGCGTGGGGAATGTCCCGTTTTGCGCGCGGTGGCCTTCTGGAATTCTCTCTCTCCCCTCTCTCTCTCTCTCTTAATGTTTGAGTGTTACAAGTGCTTTATATATATTATAACTTGAGTAGATTATTTTAAATCAAAAGAATAATTCGTATGGATTTAAAAAGTACAATTTTAAATTTTCTTACTGAATATATTATAACATTTCCTAGATTTTGTCTAGACTCCCATCCCCCCTTTAAGACATTAGGAGATCTGCACTGGGTGAAAAAAGTGGTTTCCCATCATGGGAAATTTTATGGAAACCACATGGAAACCTCAAGTTTACATCATGTTTCCCAGTGGTTTCCGTAGCGGATGCTAGGTTATTCCGCCAAGTTTCCGTGACACGGAAACCCCCTACGCTCCGATTCCATAAGGTATCCCGAACCACGGAAACCTCTGTAAACCTGAAGTTTCCCGAACATCCATGTAGTTTCCCGTAATGGGAAACCTGAAGATTCCACAGGTTTCCAGAATCAGGAAACTTGATGGAATCGGAGCGTAGGGGGTTTCCGTGGAATGGAAACTTGGTGGAATCTTTAGGTTTCCTTTTACGGGAAACTACATGGAAGCTCGGGAAACCTCATGATTCCTAAAGTTTCCTCGACTCAAGAAACCATATGGAATATGAGCGTAGTGGTTTCCGTGGAATGGAAACTTGATGGAATCTTAAGGTTTTCTTTTATGGGAAACTACATGGAAGCTCGTGAAACCTTATGATTCCTGAAGTTTCCTTGACTCAGAAAACTATATGGAACTTGTGTAGCACTTTCTGTGTGGCGGAAACTTGGTGGAATTATCTGGAGTCCCATTCCTGGTGGAAATTACTGGGAAACTTGAAGATTCCCTAACTTTTCTAAAGGAAGCAATGTGAAATAATGCGTATTCTTTTAAAAATCTATCAAAAAAAATTATTACATGTAAAAGAAAAAAGCATTACCAATTTATATGTTTAATAATTCATTTGATGTACAAAAACTGTAACTGAATTTTTCAATGATATCAAAATATTAAACAAATTCATATATCTTAGATAAACAATGGAACAGTCTTTCACATTTAAGTCCATTCATAAGGGTCATTAAGTACTTCTTTCAACATCAGTTTCCTGGTTTTCTTCACATCACCTATGATCTGCAATATTCATTCAAAATTATTATATGATGTCAGAATTATAATGCTTGAATATAACTTAGAAATCTGAAAGATCAGTCAATGTCCTTTAATATACCAATATCAATAATTACTTTCCATGACCATGATACATATGATTTCAGCATTTAATGTATCTCTTTAATATTTAATGCTTTATGATAAGTGAAAAAAATAACATAACATAAATAATGTTTTCAGCCTTATTATGTCATTGAGAATATATTACTACATGTATCTCATACTAAGAACCCTGCTTTAAGTTTGATAAGTTTGAGAGAAAACATACCCTTTAAAATAACAAAAATATTAGGGAGAGATTTTTTTTTAAATTTTGATATTCGACCTAGAAATTGGTTGAAGATCATTGCAGACCCTCCATCCCATTGCACAAAAGCTAGATTACACCAGGGGAGATAAATACTCTGGACTACGATCATTTTAAATAAAGATATACAGTAGATTTTGATACTGACCTTTGACCTAGAAAATTAGTCCAAGGTCACTCTTCATCCTCTATCCACAGGCTCTCTGTAGTTTAAGTTTGAGAGAGAAATATGCACAGAACAAGTGATTTCAGATGGAGTGATGGGTAGACACTGTCTAAGGGCATCCACAGAACAGGACCTAAAAATAATGCAATATATATGTATTACAGTATATATACACATGTACTTGTATGTTAATGATTTATCATATGCTGCATTGGACACATATGATTTTATCATGGTTTAAGTATACATGTATCTTATGAGTAATTTTATACCGGTATTGCATGTACGCTCAGTTTATTTAAGAAATAAATAACAAGTTTATAAACTTCAATGGGAGAGATACCACAAATGTATATATAAACAAGTAATTTAATTTTTTTTTTTTACATATATTGACCAACATTATTTACATCCATTCATCATGTTCATGAATTGGCTGATCAAAATTCAGTCAGTTTTAGATCTATATGATACACCACAAAGGACTTTCACATTTACAAAATTTATTCCCCTTCGCAGGGTCAATCTGGGGTCAACCGGCTTAAGACGCTGTTTTCCCTCTTTAACCGTATCAACTTTGAGGGACAATATCTTAGAAATAAAATCTGTATGAACATATTCATTATGATTTTCATGTTCCCCCATACTCTGGCAATACAGATATAGATCGTAATTGTCCAATATTTTTGAAGATTGAAAATATTAACAAGTAACTTACAAAGGACAAAGTGGGGAAAATGAGCGATACGCCGACAATTGGAGAAAACTCTTAGGAATGTGAAATTCGTCTATTGGTGATGACAATTCCTGTTTTAATGTCACTGAAAAATTAAGAGACAATAAAAATTTAAGCCCTATTGTCATACACGCATGCTGTTTTTTCATCCATATAACCTTTTAGTATCATAAAATTTACCAAAATTTAATACTTCAAATAATTTCATTGAATAGCTATAAAATAAAGGAAACTCTAAAAACTTAGTGACTTGCAGAAATTATTCCTTGAAGAGAAAAAATCTATCATATTTCATATAAATATGTGCATAATGAGCCTTTTTTATTCATTTAGAACATATGGTATGTGCCTCATTTCCCCAAGAAATTTTCAAAGACAATGGACTATCTGTAAGCAGAAATCATTGCTGTTTACTTACATTGGAAAATTTATGAAAATAATTAACTTCCTATTTTTTTTATTTTAAATAATGCTAAAAATAATTTAATCTATTAAAAATAATCTAACTGACTGTAAAATAACATTTTTCATAATCTTAATCTATGGGCAGATCACTCTAACTTCATAAAACTACCTGATATTAAAGTAGAACTCTTTAGTGTGCAGTCTTTAGAGCTTCCTTTAAGTAATCAAAATACTGACCAGCAAGAAATCAGTTAATAAGCATTTCCTTTTTTTCATTCAAATTTTTGGAGAGATCTCAGAGTTTTTTTCCTGTTCAATTCAGGTTCAAGACGATAAAGTTTTATTGAAGTGTATGTATTAGAGAACTGCTTGTATGTCAATCATAGCAATACACACATAACATGGAGGGGGCAAATTGTTTCAGCCCTAGCTTTTACATAAAACTTCTTGTAGCTCACAGCTGATATACCACAGTTCAGTATTTAAATAAAATTTAGAATCTTTTTTTTTTTTTTTCAGGCAATTGTCATATACATACTAATCATGAATGAATTACCACTTACCAAATGACCACATCCTGAATCATCATACATTTTCTATAATTTTATCTCACTGGTTTTCTTTTAAAGTCACACAGTTTTCTTCTCTCTGAAATGATAAATTATGTCCAGGTAGTATTGCATTCTAATTTAAACTAATTATGTATTAGCATTAGCAACAACCAGGATGGAAGAAAAAATAACCAGAAGTCTCTGTCGAGACTGTAGCTCTACTGGTTTGTACTTATCAAAAACTGATGCACAGAATTATGTATCTTAGTATAGTCTACTTGTGTGCCAAGTTATATTGAAATCAGACTAAAATTTAAGGAGGATTAGTGTTTGCAGACAGACGGACAGACAGACAGACAGACGGACGCATTACTATCGCATAAGCTCTTCTGGTCTCTGACAAGTAGAGCTAAAAAACAAGATGTGCTTGTGAAACACAGCAACAAAGTTCGAAAATGCAATTTTTTTAGCATAAAAGTCACAGTCAAGATCACATAATCATTGTCCTTGTTGCCATTTGAAAGCACTTCATTAGTGGAGTATGCATACTAAATATGAAGCCACTATCTCGTATAGTTCTAAAGTTATGGTGAAGGTTTAAGTTGACAACAGACACTCAGACAGACACACAGATATACAGTTATGGCAAAAGTTTGGACATTATAACTTGGTATACACACAGCCATTTCGAGGTATCAAGGGTAAAATTCACAGCACAGCGGGACTGCATTTTGACTTCGAAGGATCAAGGGTTTCGAGAGATCAGGAGTTCGAGAAATCAAGAGCAAATCTGCTTAGTTATATAGTGGAAAAAATCGGGACAGGAGACTCACTTCAAGCGATCAAGAACTTCCGAGAAATCGAAGTTCAAGCTATCAAGAGTTACCTGTATATACAGATATAAGAAGCATCTTATTATTTGCAATTTTGACCTAATGACAGCTAAATCTGTTCAGTAAGACAATACTTTGTAAATGTATGTAAGTAGTTTTATTGTGCATGATTATTTACTTATTTTCTTGATCTTCTCAACTTGAAGTGTTCTGTATTTTATTACCAAGTTTGTAATAAACATAATGAAACATAACCTTTTCCACATCACATCCTGTATCAGACCTTTGACCAATATCAGCCCTAGGGCCTCTGTCCCTCTGGCTGATATTGGTGTCTCGGGCTAGAATGTGATAAGGAAAAGAGTATGTTTTATTCGCTATACATTGTCCTACTCAGGTCAATAATTGTGAAAAAACTGATAATTCAAGCTGATGATTCATTTGCATTTCTTGACATACTATCAATATTAATTCACTATTAGGCTTTTCTTTTTTTACATCTTCATCTCAACAGGTTAGACATTACAAAAAAAAAAATCTTTTGAGTCGTAAACTATTTCAATAAACAATAAAACAAACCTTATATTCTCCCTCACTTCGTTCGTCCGAATATAAATTAATGAAGTGCTAAATGAATAAAACACAACACATGTTAAGTAGGAACGCTGCTCGCTAGTGCTTTTATTTAATTCTAATACATAACCACTTTATGAAACCAACTGTATAGCCCAACTTCATTACACTCCATTGCATTACTATCCTCCATATTTCTTAATCTTTAAATCCTAGCGAGCAAGCTTAGAGTGCCGTGCTACCGCATGGCCTTACTATTTATACCCCAAATAACCACGTGACTTCAGAAGAAAACTTTTCGAACACATACCGCACATTATTTTAATTATCTCTTCAGAAAAGTGGACAGGCTTTCACCTACATTCACTTTTTTATGTATATTTTTCCTCCATATCATCGTCATGCATATGATTACCGTCTTCCTTGGAAGACGGTATTGTATAGTTGAAGTTTTTTACAGTCTTCGGACTATGCACTTCCTCTCTTTTGTGATTGGTAGAAAATGCATGATGAGAAAATTTTCAATTATTTCATTGGTTGAAATGCTGTTCAAGGCAAGGGAGATAACTTTCTGATGATCTAATTTTCGTACGACTTAACAATTTTGCAAGATTTTCAATCTTTAAAAAAATGACAAAACGAACAACAAAATCAGCAGTAATTAATTCCTAATAACATGATTTTTTGTATAGCAAAAAATAAAAAGATCTCTTTAACTTCATTATAAATAAAATTTGATTTTTATTGCTTGCAGGCTTTACAATTTGTTATTATTCTTTTCCCCTTTCTTGTTTGAAGAAGGAAATGAAATCAGCCGAGGTTTGCCGAAAGCTCTCGGCGAATCAAAGTTTACGGAGATGACCGAGCGGCAACCGTGGTAGGGCTAATGCCAGTAAAAAGCTAATGTAGAAATACAAAATCAAGAAATTCAAAAGAATTATACGGCCTGATAGGTGTAGATCAGTTTACAGTTTAAGATTCAGTTTACAGTTTAAGATTGTTGCTAAAGACGGGAAGCTTTTTAAAAAAGCTCTACTTGTTAAGGTTATGCTATTTGCTACAATCTATTCCAACTGTTCTGATGAGGATATCCTTCATGAATAATCGGATAAGCTGAGATTGAAGACACTTTTTGTAAAAATATCGATGCTTTTATCAAAGTTTTGGACCAAAAATATTTAATTTATACCTTGTCATAAGTCGTAAGTTCCAAAAAACAAGAGTTGGCTATCCGAAAAGTCAGAAAACACATGTATTAAAACCGGATATTGTACAGTCTGAATTTAACTACGAAACCATGCTCGGTGTAACTATTATCATCCGGATAATTTGAGCGGGGTTAAAAATATTTTTTTTTTAATTCCGAAAAGTATTCATTTATATATAGAGAGAGAACATACATATGGAGCATACATTTTAATAAACATGATAAAAGGCCGGCCATAAAAGGCGAAACGTTGCCATTTTACAACATACAGCATGCACATGCACGGTGCCTTTGGGGCCTCCATTATCTAAGTTATGCTCTATCACTGTCTCAAATTTTTCTCTCTCTCTCTCTCTCTCTTTCTCTCTGCAATATATACACTTAACAATTTAAAACTTAGGTATCCAACTTTTCAAAATGGCGTCAGAACAAAAGTTGCCTCCGATGGTGAAGATTTGTTGTTGCCAAATATTACAACTATTTACCGTAAAAAGTTAACAAAAATATACGTACACTAATCCTTCATCGTTGACCATTGCATTTATCACAGTCTTAAAGACACTGGGTGGTGAAACCATCTTAACTTTTCACATTTACCAGCTGCTTACACCTTCTTCTTCGTCCTTCTCGATCCTCCAAAAATGGCGCCTCGGGAAATTGACCAATGAAATAAAGCGCCTACAGAGCGATGCAGGATGGGAAATATAAACTGTTGAGATCTTATATTAGAATTTAATTAAGTTTTCCCCTTTTCATGGAATAAAGAGAGGGGCTCCTAAATATTTTTGCCGATATGATGTGTAGGCCTAGTATATTTAGAAAAAAAAGCGGTTAAATACATGAGGCAAGAGCAGAAAACAAAATGTTTCTTGCTTGACACCTCAACTTATTTGTCTTCGGGATATGGGTTTCGGGGCTTGGTTGTTTTTAGTGGCCGTCCTTGCTGAAAGTACCCCCACCCCCCCCCCTCTCCCCGCTTCTTTTAACTGTTACATGTATGATTATAATTTATAATGTCACACCAAAAGATGTTAAATTTTTAAAAGCACATTTTTTTTTTTTTGTGAACTTTCCACAGGAATCCTAAAAGGCATGAAAATGAGCTACAATTATAATATGATTATCAAGAACAGTTTTTTTTTATTTCAATAGTGATAATTGAAAAGTTCGGTGATTAATAATTCATTGCTAATAAATTGTTGTGTTTTTTTTTTGGGGGGGGGGGGGGGATTAAATTACTAATTGAACTCCCTCCTTTTCGGGGTTTAATTAGATTTTGAGCCTGCTATCAATATTACTGGTGGACCTGCTAGACTTTTCTCTAATTGCTACATGTACATTGTACTTTAAACTCCTTGACCTTAAGCTAAAAAGAATTCCCACATCATTTTAACAAGTAAAATTGTTAAATGAATCAGAATATGTTGAAATCCTTTTTCTTAGGAGAGTTATATCTCTAGGTGGAACAAAACTAACATCTTATCAAAGGCAGGAAAATATAACAGTTACTGTATTTTAATTCAGTATTTTAGTCGTGATTGGTATAAGTAAAGTCATGGGAAAGATTATGTCGAAAGTCATCTATACTCGTTGATGTGCAGGGCTGTTCTTATGCATACAGCTTTAGCTGGTCCCGCCCTGTATTTCTTTAATGTTTTTTTTTTTCGTTAAGAAATCTGGTAAGGTATGCTAGTAAAAATAAAATCCCGGTTAGTTTATTACTCTAACGGAAATTACTTTCCTACAGGCCTGAAGACCAAGTCTATTAGTCACGCAAGTTTTTTTTTAAAAGAGTAGCATGTCGGCGAATAAAAATAAACTAGTGTACAACATAGATAAAGAAATGTTTGTTAAAGTATTGACAAACTTCATACCTTTATAGAATGAAATCAACAAAAAGTGCACAAAAATACAATCGTGACAATTATACAATGAATTAATTATACAATTAATTCTTTTAATAGATTGCCTCAGCATGCACTACTTTAAAATCCATTGTTCTTAAGGAAAACAAAATCATGCAAAATATTATAGACTTTTCTTTATCTAGAGCAATGGCCTTTGGAGAAAAAAAAATGGCTGAAATTTTAAAGTTTGTTAGATATAATGTATTGTGCATTTAGGACCTTACATTGTAATTTCATGCGAAAAGTGCAGGCGTTTACTACACGGGGATCTGCGTACATATTTAAACAAAAAAAGGAAAGAAAAAAAAAAAACGTTTTATGTGATGAATTATATTATAAACATTTATCTAATAAATGTCTTTGTAGTACGTTAGATTATAAATTTCACACAAAAACCCATCAACAATATTGAATACAGTTTTGATTTCACATTGATCTATTAACGTCATTCTGATTTAATATATTAATAATTATACACGATGAGAATTACGATCTATTCAATACCTATAGAAAATTATTTAATTTCTTTAAGAGGATAGTTTTATTTTAAATCAGTAATGAAAATTGAAATAAAAATTCTAAATAGTTTGTTCTTTCATTGAACTTCTTAAATGTAGGTTATTTTATAAATATGTTCTCTTGTATAACTTTATTTATGGAATATACAATTTTTTAAATGATAAAAGAAACACGAATCATCATCTTAATTTAAAAGAATTTTCGGTCGGAGACTGTGTGTGTACATGATCGACAACAGCCCATTGTTCCCTTTAGGTACAAAACCGTCTCAATTCACATAGAATATACAAAAAATACACAGTGACAGGTGTCTTCGCAGCACGTGTCTCCACCTGAAATGGCACGTGAGGACAGGTGTCCCTAATTACACAGGCCGATCATAGTGACTTTTTCAAAAGCGTTTTTTTTTGGGGGGGGGGGGCTTCTCAAGGAAAAAATGAAAAGCAACCCACCCACCCCCAATAATAAAAATGATAATTTGATAAATTAAAAAAAACAATATTCACTACTAATAGTAAAATACTAGTATGATAATACTCAACCCCCAGCCAATTCGATGAATGATTCTTATCTGACCAGTTTATATTAATATATTAATTCATAATAAAACAAAATCTTTATCACTTTTTAAACTTTTATTTAAAAACTTGAAATACTAAAAATGTAATTTTGACAAACCAACAGAAGTATTTTTTTTCCTGACGGATTACCCCGGTATACAAGAAATGCCAACCTCAGGTATCTAATACAAATGCCTGGTAAGGTACCTTGATGTCATGTGAATACATGTAATTATGTAAATATAATTCTTCGATGTCAATTGCAAAATATTGGAAATATAATTATTTTATTGAGGAACGTCTCACCTGTCCTTAATCAGTAATCGTAACTTGACATATTTCTTTATTTACTTTTTAATCGATCTTTTTAGTAAACCTTTTCTGTAAATAATTTCAATAAATGTACCCTTCCTTAGCTCTTCCATTTTTTCAAAGGAACATTCATCATAGACAGCTTCAAGAAAGTAGGATCGGAAATGATTGATTTCTACATAACTGCATGCACTTACTTTTTTCTATTCCACTTCACGCATTCTATACGAGTTTACCAAAACTTATGTGATAAATCAAATTCAAAATTAAATAAAATTCAGTTAAATAAAATTAAATTAAAATTGAATTGCGTTCACGGTGCTGAAATATTAAATCAATCACACAGAAATACACGTCTAGTTATTTTAACTGTTTGAAGTTAATTATTTTGATACAGCATGTAAACACTTTTGAAATATTTCTATAATTGGTAAAAATATGGTAACATAATTAAATATTTAATTTTATGTAAAATAAAAGGTAGGTGGGTTAGTATTGAGATATACTTTCAAAGTTTCCCTGCCTGGGAAACATGGGGAAAACTACACATTGGTGGCTTCCATGTCGGGAATCTGTATGGAAACCACTGAGGCATGTTTACATGGTTTCCTATCTTGGGAAACTTACGGGAAACCACAGGTTGGTTGTTTCCATATCGGGAATCTACATGGAAACCACCGGGGCATGTTTCCATGGTTTCCTATCTTGGGAAACTTACGGGAAACCACAGGTTGATTGTTTCCATGTCGGGAATCTATGTGGAAACCACCGGGGTATGTTTCCATGGTTTCCTATCTTGGGAAACTTACGGGAAACCACAGGTTGATTGTTTCCATGTCGGGATTCTATGTGGAAACCACTATGTGGTTTCCATAAAATGGAAACTATATGGAAACTACTGATGTCACGATTCCCATATGTTTCCATCGGGTTTCCAAATTTGGGAAACCTGGCTTTTCATCCTGTGCTGCTCTAAACTAGTATGAAAATAGTTTTAAAAGACGAAATCCCTTATGAATCGTCACATACTCGTCGCCTGGAAGAAAAAAAAATTTTCTCAGGTTTATTATTCTCAAAACGATCAAGTTAATTTAAATAGCGTTATTTTAAGAGTTTTCGGAAATTGAATTAGACGCAGTCGACGTCATTACGTTTTCAGTGGATTACGTAAAAGTAGTTTTGGTGCGCCTCACTAAAATGCTTATAAAATACTGAAAAGGTGAGATATTTTCAAATTTTATGTATATTTGCATTCAGAAAGAGTCCGGCTATCAAAATTTACCAAAAAGTAAATTTATGAAAATTTGACCTTAAGGGCCCTTTTCTCGTGACGGCAGTCAATTATATTTAGCATATATTCTTTTACAATTTATCCGACTTTCAATAAATGAAATCAATGACTTCAAATAGCCCTTTATGATATATTTAATATATTTTCTAGGGAGTCAACTTAACCAGGTACTCGGTCCAACGTCCAAGTATTGAATACTAAAAATAGATACTCGGTTACTCGGATGTATATTAAATAATTTCTTTTTTCAAAGTAAATATTTTTATCAAAACTTATCAATACTTACTGAAATATGCAAACGGTTATTAGCATGTTTTCATCTACACCTAGCTGTAAAACACCCGTTATCGCCTCTACATGTAGCTGTGAATATACAGTAATTACTGACCAATTAGCAGGCACATAGTCGTTCTCAACTATTGTGGTCCTTAACTTTTTGCATGAGTGACTTTAACAATTGTTTTCAGTA